ATTTAGTCAGCCACCAATTGTGCATGTTCTCCCACTTAAAAAGATGAGAGAGGCCTGTAATTGTTATCATAGGTAGACCTCAACTATGAGAGACAAAATGAGAAAACAAATCCAGACAATCACATTGTCTGATCTGGAAAGAATTTATTTGCAAATTATGGTGGAAAATAAGTATGTGGTCACCTACAAACAAGCAAGATTTCTGGCTCTCACAGACCTGTAACTTCTTCTTTAAGAGGCTACTCTGTCCTCCACTCATTACCTGTATTAATGGCACCTGTTTGAACTTGTTATCAGTATAAAAGACACCTGTTCACAACCTCAAACAGTCACACTCCAACTCCACTATGGTGAAGACCAAAGAGCTGTCGAAGGACTCCAGAAACAAAATTGTAGACCTGCACCAGGATGGGAAGACTGAATCTGCAATAGGCAAGCAGCTTGGTGTGAAGAAATCAACTGTGGGAACAATAATTAGAAAATGGAAGACATACAAGACCACTGTTAATCTCCCTCAATCTGGGGCTCCACGCAAGATCTCACCCCGTGGGGTCAACATGATCACAAGAACAGTGAGCAAAAATCCCAGAACCACACGGGGGGACCTAGTGAATGACCTGCAGAGAGCTGGGACCAACGTAACAAAGGCAACCATCAGTAACACACTACGCCGCCAGGGACTCAGATCCTGCAGTGCTAGACGTGTCCCCCTGCTTAAGCCAGTACATGTCCGGGCCCGTCTGAAGTTTGCTAGAGAGCATTTGGATGATCCAGAAGAGGATTGGGAGAATGTCATATGGTCAGATGAAACCAAAGTAGAACTGTTTGGTAGAAACACAACTCGTCATGTTTGGAGGAGAGAGAATGCTGAATTGCATCCAAAGAACACCATACCTACTGTGAAGCATGGGGTGGCAACATCATGCTTTGGGGCTGTTTCTCTGCAAAGGGACCAGGACGACTGATCCGTGTACAGGAAAGAATGAATGGGGCCACGTATCGTGAGATTTTGAGTGCAAACCTCCTTCCATCAGCAAGGGCATTGAAGATGAAATGTGGCTGGGTCTTTCAGCATGACAATGATCCCAAACACACCGCCCAGGCAATGAAGGAGTGGCTTCCTAAGAAGCATTTCAAGGTCCTGGAGTGGCCTAGCCAGTTTCCAGATCTCAACCCCATAGAAAACCTTTGGAGGGAGTTGAAAGTCCGTGTTGCCCAGTGACAGCCCCAAAATATCACTGCTCTAGAGGAGATCTGCATGGAGGAATGGGCCAACATACCAGCAACAGTATGTGCCAACCTTGTGAAGACTTACAGAAAACGTTTGACCTCTGTCATTGCCAACAAAGGATATATAACAAAGTATTGAGATGAACTTTTGATATTGACCACGTACTTATTTTTCACCATAATTTGTAAATAAATTCTTTCCAAATCAGACAATGTGATTGTCTGGATTTGTTTTCTCATTTTGTCTCTCATAGTTGAGTTCTACCTATGATAACAATTACAGGCCTCTCTCATCTTTTTAAGTGGGAGAACTTGCACAATTGGTGGCTGACTAAATACTTTTTTGCCCCATTGTATTTAGGCAACACAAGCCATCAGAAGTTGCTACTCTCCCTTTTCCTTTTCCTTTTTTTTAAAAGAACATCTGCAAGATTTAAGATTTGGTGCTATGAAGTAGGTTAACAGGTAGAAGGATGGGAAAAGGTTAAGGGACAGAATAAAAAATCTTTATTAAAAAAATTCTTAATAAATTTCTGAAGCTGCACACTTAACAAGATGGTACAACATTTACTACAGATATATAGTAAATAGAATGTCAATAGAAAAATATAATGAATGTTAATTTGCCATCTGCACAGTTTCTTCTGTGATATATACTGTAAATGCCTGTCGGACTCATTTTTTATAAAAAATAAGGTAATGGTTTTAGGGACAAAATTGACATGATTATAAAGGCTGTCAGATCCAACAGTGAGTACATTAGTCTAGACTGACAGAAACCTAATGAGGATCACTTTTCTATGACACATTATGATGGGTACAGAATGAAGAACAGCCATTTATGGAAGTAGCTTGCCAAGCACATTGAGATTAGCTAGTACATCAGGAATACCTTTCACTTCTGGCCAACTTGAAGGCAGTGCTATAGCTATATATAGATGAAAGAAGCAAAGAGATTAATTGGTTTCCAACTCTTATACAATGTTTTGCTCCCCTGCATGGAGTAGCTTGGGAAAAAAATAATGTGACATTATTTCCTTTGCAGTGAAAATGTTGTTTTTCACTTGATAATATGAACAAAGCCTAAGATTCTGCTGGAGAAAAAAAAAAAAGCAGCAGCCAGCAGGTAGAAGCAATGAAAAGAGATTTGCTAGCACACAAAGAATTAAATTTTGAGAGGAAAGCCTACAGATTGGAAATTGGGTTGGTTTAAGATTATCATTAACAGACGTCCAAAAGGATCTACAGCAGGTTATAAGCCAGTTAGTTTAAGTTCAATTTCATGGAAAAGCTCATATACTACTTTTAGGTATCAGTTGGGAACACTAAAGATAAGAGCGTGCCTTGATTAAGAATGGGCAACCTATGGCTGAGAGGGTCTGGTCATGTTTCACTAACTGAGCTAATAGAGATATTAAAGCAGAGGGATACAAAGGAATGAAGCCAGCATTCTAATTAAATTTTCAGAACCACTATGGGAAACTTTTACTATGTAGTGATGGTCCAAAGAGAATTTCAGAGAAATGGGGAAAAATGTGTCTTCTACTGAATGCCATATATTAACATTCAGGGTCAGCAACAAATGTCTTAGCACAGAAAATTTGTTTTAAGCCTGTGAAATTATCAGGAGACAAACTACACTGCTAAATGTGTTGTTTCAGAGACAACAATCTGGTCAACTGGGATGATCCAGTTTTGAGCCTGAGGGAACAAAATGAAGATGTAGATTAGAATATAAAAATAACAACACTACACTATTTTCAGTCAGATTAATTTGTCTGATTTGTCTGTTTTTCACCAAGACGAGCTTATCTATCCAGAGCAACTCAAGAAAGGAGCTCTTGCTGGTAATGGAAAGGAAGAACATTCTCTTGGTTTTCTCAATGCTTACATGTTCCAAAGGAATCATACCCTACACCTCTTTTATATTATGAACATGGAGAAATCGGAACAGAATTATGTTTTCAAGTGTATGCCATCATACGTTTGCTTGTCCACATCTATAAGCACCATTAGTATACATCAGATGGACCTTTCTTTGGAGACCGATAGAGAGATGTAGGTACTATACACATACTCAATCAATTTATATAGTAAATTCTAGAGAAGCACATCATGGCTAAGCAGGATGTGAGAATATATCAGGGAGCAAGGAGATTATATTATTAACTTATATCGGGGGACCATAGTAGAAAAGTTGTGCAAACCTTCCTAGGATCAAACAAGAGACACCTAACCCTAGGCCCGAGAGCAGTCAACTGCTGACCCTGCTTTTCTGTCACACCTCTGCTAGAATGCTGTGGAGCAATGCCTGGCTTCTTAATAAGAAAAACAGATGCAAAGTATCAGCTCTTCTGAACCAATCTGAAGAACCAATGATATATTCCAAAGGTGCTGTTTCAAGAGACAACTGGACTTTCTTTGAAGACGTTTTACTTCTCATCCAAGAAGCTTCTTCAGCTCTGACTGGATGGTGGAGAATGGAAGGATTTATGCTCCTTGCAAACAAATGGTCTTTTAAAGAGTTGTTGAGGCCGCTTGGGGGTTTGTCTGTGTCCTCAAGGTCACCTGAATGATGCAAATGAGTGTGGAGCCTTCTTGGAACTGCTGAAAGGACTGTGTTGTAGACTGGAGATAGATGATATTGTATTCCTCCCCCTCTATTGGGAGAAGGCTATTCAATTTTGACATAGATGGCCTTTTTGACGCCTCTTTCAAACCAGCGGTCCTCTCTCTCCAAAATGTGGAGTTTGCTGTCTTTAAAAGAGTAAGATTTTGTCTTTTAAATGCAGATGGCCTGCTGAACCTTGTCTTGATGGGTTTGACCTGGGTGACTGAGAATTTCCATAGATATTAACCTATGATATAATAATAAAGATGATGATGATGATGATGACGATGATGATGATTGATGATGGAAAGGACCTTGGAGGTCATCTAGTCCAACCCCCTGCTCAGGCAGGAAACCCTATACCATTTCAGACAAATGGCTGTCCAGGCTCTTCTTAAAAACTTCCAGTGTTGGAGCATTCACAGCTTCTGGAGGCAGGTTGTTCCACTGATTCAGTGTTCTGTCAGGAAATTTCTCCTTAGTTCTAAGTTGCTTCTCTCTTTGGTTAGTTTTCATCTGTTGCTTCTTGTCCTTCAGGTGCTTTGGAGAATAGCTTGACTCCTTCTTCTTTAAGATATTGGAACACAGCTATCATGTCACCCCTCATTGTTCTCTTCATTAAACTAGACATACCCAATTCCAGCAACTGTTCCTTATATGTTTTAGCCTCCAGTCCTCTAATCATCTTTGTTGCTCTTCTCTGTACTTTTTCTAGAGTCTCAACATCTTTTTTACATTGTGGTGACCAAGACTGGATGCAGTATTCCAAGTGTGGCCTTACCACATATATTGTTTCCCACTATAGCCCATCCCTGAGTCAAAGGATAGATGTGAAACAGGAAGTCTTGGAGTCAGTTTTGCCTTTGTTGTTAATGTTGGGGTAACTTGCACATCTGCATGCAAATATCTCTATTGTGAGCTATCACATATTTACCATCTTATCTACTGCAAGTGCCATATCACAAATATTAGGAGAAAAGTAGAATCAGCCTTCTTTAGGACAAAAATGTTATTCTGTGTGAATGGAACACAGGTGCCAATAGGAAGAAAGAAGAAACACTGCAATAATGTATTTACTTTCATATCCCAAATGTGTTTCTGATAGTGAGTATATTGACAGGAAAATAAGTACATACAAACATATAATAATAATTCTTACCAGCATAACCAGATCTGGGAACCATGTTTTTTCTGTATTCTCATACTAGATTTTAAAGGTTTTCTGAAACAGAAAAAAAATTAATTTGAAAAAAATATTTCAGAATTAGAAAGATTGCTTTTTCAGCAAAATGTGACCTCTTTAGAAAGTTCACAATCTTCAGCTCACCCATTTGTACGACCTAACTGAATTTTGTCCACTGCAAATAAGGCAATTAAATTATAATTCAACTAAAATATCCTAGAAAATCAGATAACCATCTGTATTATTGACATAGCCTATTTGTGGTGCCAGCGATCCTAATGGATTCCATCTCTCTTAATGTGGTATTCAATTAAGTTGATATTCCCTTTAATCTCACTAATTCCAAATACATCAGGCAATGTAGTGTGATTTTCAGAAAACAAAAGCCCCATCAGTTAAAGAATCCTGAAGATCAACAAGATAGATCAATGACCCATAGTGGCTCAAGTACGTTTTTTTTTCAGAAAGCACAATAGTTCATGCTAATTTAAGGCAAGTGAAGATATGGAAAAAGAACAGCCAGCTTTTAATGGTTGGGATGCAGAAGATCTATAATCCTTCATAGGAAAAAAAATAATGAGAGAACAAAGCAAAGTATAGAATTCTCTACCACAACTCTTTCCCTTAGTGGCAGGTTGTTTTATGATGCCAACGTAGGTTATGGGAGAAAAAGATATTGTGTGATGTCTGCTTATTTATAAATATACATGACTGAGGAAACTGTAAAAGACTCGTGCAGATAGTGCTAATCTTCAAACAAGCATTAGCTGCTCTGACAGCAAAGGAACATTTTAATCCAAAAATGCAGAAAGTGGATTTGAAAGTATTGTGTTAGAAATAAAACAAAATAATACACATCTGAAAGAAGGTGAAGCTAGTATCATAAATTATGAAAAAAAACTCATATATAACCAAGTGCTCCCATCTTTTTCTTGCAGCTCATTCAAATAATTAATCATAAAATGTTGCTCCAGAAATAAACCTGTTTATATATAACATAAACAAATGTATACAATTAATATACTACAACAAATAACTTTGGACAAATAAATTAATTCCAATAAAAATAAAACCCTTTTCATTTTGAAAGGAAGGGAAGATATACAAGAGCTGACAATATAAATTAATATGGATTTGTTCTTAGTCCTAGTAACAGAAAATGTTATGTCCTTTATTATAGTTCAATGGATTAATACTCAAAATTGTAAACTGAATCCCAAATTGGTGATTAGGAGGAGGTGTGACTGCCAACAAAGAAAGCAGTCTGTGATCACATTTTCTGGCTGTAAGACAAAATGTTCATGCTTTTAATGCAAATATCTCAAATACTAGCCACCATTCGGCAAAAAAAAAATTTAGACATTTTTGAAATTTTGGATTTCAGATGAACCAATATTTTTTTATAAAAGTTTTATTAATCTTTAAGAATTACAATCTTTAGTGCTTAGTGAACAACATGTCTGGTTTCAGATATTTAACATTAACTTCTTCAATATAAATCTGTTCAATGCTACACAATTCAATATTTTTTCCCTGATCCTCCTTTCTTCCCCATATTTTATCCATTTCCCCCTCATTACGCAGTTACAATTTTTGATACTGTTAATGTATACACAGTTAGATATAAGCAACTTCATCATATTTTACTAATATCATACAAATAACAATAATATCAATTCATAAATCAATGTCAGTTCATAAATCAATATCCAGTTTTTCATGCTCTTGTTAAGGTTTGATTTCCCATCAGTATTTGAAATATCTTTGTCAGTTATAATTTTCTCAATATTAACTACATTTATATAGCTAAAAGTTTTATTCATATCAATCCTCTTATTTTCATATTTCCCATATCAAAAGAAAAAAAATAAAAATGTTATTTTAGTTCTAAATCATATCTTTCATTATAAAAGTCTAATTATGTCTAAGGATCATCCATTCTTTTAATCTTATTCAAACAGATATTTAAACATATAATGCCCCCTCTAGAACAGGCGTGTCAAACTCACCATGTCACGTGATGTGTTGCGACATATCACAACTTTTTCCCCATTGCTGGAGCTGGGGCAGGCACACTTTTGGCATGATGCACCTGGCCCGTGGACCAGCAGTTTGACACCCCTGCTCTAGAAGATCAAATCTTCTATTTTTTTAAGTCTGACTCTCACTTTCTTTCTTTGCCAAGTAGCTTTCCATGACAGGGAAATTAGATCGCCCAGGAATTTGCTTTCTATTTTTGTGAAAATTGCTTGGCATAAGGAAGACAATTTAGGTAGGGTATTTTTTTTAGGGAATTCTGCCCATTTATATTCCTTAAACAACCCCCAGTTTCTTTCTCCCTCAATTTCTCTTTTCATTCCCTGTCTCCCAAGTTGTGACAATTCCCCTAACACAGTGGTTCTTTTTAATGCCGCGACCCCCAACCGGTCGTAAGTCGAGGACTACTCAACTGGTGCAGCACCATTTGCAGAATGGGACTTTTGGCGGGCTCAGCAGGGCAGAGACAGCCTGGACAATTCCTATTGGCTTTTGAAAGCCAATAGAATTAGACTCTATTCAAGAGAGTCTATTCTATTGGCTTTCAAAAGCCAATAGAATAAAAGGAAGTAGCACAGCTAAGGAAAAGGGGGAAAAATGGCAGACTGCTTTGTTTGGCGACCCCCATGAAATGGTCATTTGACCCCAAATGGGGTCCCGACCCACAGGTTGAGAACCACTGCCCTAACAGATCTGTATTCCATTTTTTAAAATCTTCTTCCTTGCCATCAGATGTATTTTGCAGACCTAAGGGGTAAAGGGTCTTTTGCATTTTCATTGTTATAGCTAAGTCTTGCAGTATTTTGTTTGTATATAGTCATTTATATTTCCCTTCTTTTTCCTCTTCCATTTCTAAATCCATTTCCTTTGTTTCGTCTTCTGATTTCTGGTTTATTTGTTCATACTTTGTAGTCATTATCTGGGAACTTTTTAGCTGTAGATTTAATTTAGAGATTTGCCCATTTATATTGTCTAAATTGTTTTTAGTCTCATTATGATTCCTTTTTATTTTCTCTTTGCATGCAACAATTGTTTGGTGAATTACTTGTAGTATAGAATATATTTCCTTCTGGTTTTTTTTTTTTTTTTTTGAGGCATCATTCCTGGAGATCCCCTAATAAAGGCATGTTAAACTGCCAGCCCAGAGGCCGGATGTGTCATGCTGAAACCGCACCTACCCCATTACTGGCAACGGGGAAAAAGTCGTGATACATCATGCAACATCACATGATGTCGCAAGTTTGACATGCCTGCTCTAGTATCACCAGTCTCAGTAAGAGTAGATCAAAGTTTCCTTTCATTTTCTGATCTTTATATGTATCCTTTATAATCCAATAGATTCCAGAGTATAGGTTCAGTCCTCCAAACAATATTTTATAATAGTCCTTTATCTCAAGTATCCAAAAATGGTCAATCAGGCAAGGTTGTAATCCACAATGTTCAAAGTGTTCAAAATGTTCAACCTCTCTGAAAACAGCTCAAAGGTCTCTCCCAGCCAGACGTAGTCCAAGGTCAAATTTTTCTTTCTCTCCCACTAGCTCTTGAGGTTAAAAGTCCAAGCTCAGTAGATATTTAAAATCCAAGAAGGTTAGGGTGATAAGTATGCCAAAATATTTCCCTTTATTGCCAGCTGTTCTCCCAAGCTAGAAGTCACCAAGCAGCCAGGAAGCAAATTATAGTGCTATATACAAATCCACCACTAGATGTCATTTTCCACTCTTAAAATAAAGGATTGATTTCTTACATTTCACCTCAATGTTTTTTTTCAAAGATAAAATCTTAATAGTTATCTCAATGCTCAAATTTATCAAAACTGTAGCTTTATGTTACTTCCACTTCAGTATTGTATGTTTCTGTCCCCCATAAAATTAAAACACTGCTTCCTTTTACATTCAGAAGTTTTTAGCTTCTTGGGAGCCTTTCCCAGGAAATTCAGTTGTAAATAGTAAAGAAAGGATCAATATTCTCACCCAGTTCCAAACATGCTGTTTACAATTGGTGCTCTTGTTTTCTTTAGTTGTCAGCAGCTAATGACCAACTACAGGAATGTAGCAGGTTTTTCCCCTGCCAATTTTGAAGGCTTTTCTTGGATTGAATGGAAAGACCGCTGTCTCTCTGTGATCAACAAGACACCCCTTCTCTTCATCGCCTCTTCAGGGAGATTTTAGGCCCTTTTTAGGGCCCCCAGCAGGGCATGGAAGGCAGAGCCCTGCTTCCCGCATCCCATTCCGCCACAATGCAAACCGGAAGTCAATTTTAATTCTTCATTTATAAAAATTTATTGGTCGCACATCTTACCATAAGGTAACTCTGGGTGGCTTACAGTCATAAAAATGTATCTGCATTAAAACATAAACAAATTAAAACCCAAGATTAAAATCTAAGAACCTGTGGGGAGGTGGGGGGGGTCAGAATGCAGGGAGGTGGGATTTGTTGTTACTCAATCTACCACCTTCACTGTGCTGTTCCCCCATTGGAGCCACAGGCCAACTGGCAGAGCCAGGTCTTGAGGCCTTTATGAAAGGATAGGAAGGTTGAAGCCAATCTCATATCAGGGACAAGATGTTCCAGAGGGCAGAAGCAACAGCAGAGAAGCCCCACCTCCTGGACCCCACCAGGTGAAATAATTGGGCTGATGGGACCCGCAGCATGCTTCCTCTGCCAGTACAAGTGGGATAGGCCAAACTCAATGAGGTGAGATGGTCTCTCAAGTAACCTGGACCCATGCCATGAAGGGCTTTAAATGTGATCACCAACACCATTACATTTGATGGATATTTAAGTAATTTCACAAAAAAAGGCAAGTCATTGTACTTTTCTCTCCTCAGCATCTCCCATTACAGCATATCCCACTGACCCCAAGCCTTCCTTCTCCTCCTTGCCCCATTGGCTGCCAATATTCTTGGCTTTATCTTACCCTTATATCCCTCACATCACTTTTTCCCAATATTTGAGTTCCTATCCAGAACAAAACATCCCTGATTTGCTCTGTGCATGGACCA